TTGAGTTAGTCGACTAACCAGTTAGGCGGCATACCAGCAAGGTAATCAGAAAGCTTATAATTCTTGCAAAAGAATATTCAGACTATTTAATAAAATCATAACGCCTTTTGGGACAGACACTGAGCTTCTTAGCTGGAGATTTGATTTTTGATTTATTAGCGCTTAAGCTTCGTGTTTGTCACATTAAACTCCCATTATTGGCGCTTCGTGAGGGCTATGGTTTTTTTCACTTCTTTTTTTGAACTGTCATTCACAATTCTTACACACATCTATCTGCTAGCTATATTGTTTGTATGTATGTATGCATGTAATATTGGGGCAAGTTAAGCATGCTACGTATGTGTGTCGTCGACATTGCCCGCAACGTCGTTGCAATTGTACTCGTTTTCTGTTGTCATTTTTTTCTTTCTTCGTTGTCACATTGTTGCTGCCGCCTATATTGGCATTCTAGTATATGTTTATTATTGTCATGCTTGTTGCAGTACGTTTCGTTGAAGTTCTCGCTATCGTTCTCGAATGAAAACAAGTTTAATGACGATGATGACGACGATAACAACGACGACGAGGACGACGATGACAACAAACACGAAGCAGCTAATGTTCTTAATACATATATTTTCAGTATAGATATGTATGCAGTGAGTATAGATGTATGAAAACAAAACAAAAAACTTGTGCACAAGCGAAACGTGTGATAAATAGAGTAATTGAAGAAGAAGATGAAGAGGTAAACGAAAAAATAACGCATTACAGAAACAGCAAAGGAAAACAAAAATAAATGTGTAACTTAACTGGAAGCAAAGAGAGAGAGAGAGGCATATATTTTGGGGCGCGGACACAAGGCGGTGGCAAGCGGATATACAAATTTAGTTACGTGTACATACAGAGTCTAACATAAGTGCACTTATGCATGCATACACGATGGCAACTACGTTTACGGCTGCGACGTAGACGATAATGTTGAGCATTTGCACGAATCGTTTGGCGTTTTGCCAACGAAACGAATTCAAATTTCAAAAAAAAAAAAAATAAAATGAAAATAAAAACGAGTATGTAGAATGTACATATATGCATGTAAAAAGAAGTATGAATATAGCGATTTATGTATGTAGGTATTTATAAAAGACCCTGTTGACGTTGCAAACGCTCACGACTCTAATAATAATAATATGCAATAATGATGATGACGTTGTAGCCCATGATGAGCATCATGAGGAAATGACGATTTTGTTGAGGAAGCTGGCACAAAATTTTAATGTGTAGTTGTGTGTGTGTGTGTGTGTGCCGCGTATATGTATGTATGTTGAAAAAATGCGCTCTCTTCATTTTAGTGAATTATGTGTTGTTGAGCTTTGTGCTATAGCTACTAATAATGTACGTATATATGTATGTAGGTATGTAGATATATTGTATGCATGTTGCATGTTTTGGGGTACAATGCATTGCTTGGAGTACATTGCTGCGCATGACACTTGCAATGCAAAAATGAAAGAGTCAAACAAAAGGGTATACACCGTAACCTCATACATATATAAATATGTATTTATGCATGTAGATATGGACCTCAGTCATATGCCTATAAGCAAGCGACTGGACCACTTACATATGTATGCATGTAAAAGCTATCGAGTCGTTCATGCATGCATTCATGTACATACATATATGTACATATGTATGTGTGTATGTAAGTTATACTATATAAAAGTTTGCATATATTTTTTTCCTGTATGTATACCTAAATTGCCCTGGGCCGTTTGCCAATTGCACGTTTTGCCAATTGTTCGCTTGCTTGGCAACCGTTTCTGTACATATGTATGTATGTATATGCAATATTATGCACTGCTGACAACGCAGACGCAGTGCCGTTGATTTCGTATGCACTCTACATACTACATAGTGTACATAGTGTAGATACAAACACGCTAACCATTCGATGTTGAGGTAACCTCGTTATAATTGTTTAGTGACAAAGGCTGATAAGCTCATTGCAAATGTCACCACCCGCTCTCGCTCTCTGTATCTCTCTTTATCTCTCACGCTGTATTCACCGCCACCCACTTTATAATTTGTGTTGGCGTACGAAGCATCATCAAAATCAAATGACCCATCACCACCATCATATTGAAGAAAAAGTAGCTACAATAACAACAAAAAAACTATTATACACAACTGAATTCTTGCGCTACGCAAATGCACTACATACAACACTATGTAAATACTACAGATATATGTATGTATATATGTATAAACACTTCCAAGCACATACGTGTATGTACATACGCGAAATGTACAAATCTTGTAGGTATGCATGTTGCTGATGTACATACATACATACATGCATACACATAAAGAAAGTAAAAAGTCAGAATTGGCATGAAAATGTATGAAAACAAAAGCGAAAAAAACGCAAATACAAGAATTTTCCATTGTGGATAGATACACACAAAACTGACGCGGCAGTCCGATTGCGTAGTAGCGCCCAACCCAGCAGTGGGTGTCGGTCGAGGGTTGTACGTAAGCATTCGTGTGTGCGTGTGTGTTTGTGTAGGTAATGCATACATATAATATATAGTATGTGTATTATTTGTACATGTTTTTGCAAAATAATAGATGCATTTTACAGCTTTCTAATGCAAAAATGCTATTTTGAGTAGTTGAAAATTTGTGTTTTCGAAACCAAAAACTTAAATTATGCTTAATTGCACGCTAGAAAATTTTTAACAGCTGCAACGAGTTCTAAATCAATATACGCTAAATTTATCGATAACTAATATCATTGCCGATTAGGTTTCGGTTATAAGCTGTTCTTTCCTTAAGATATGTTCACACTTCCTTACGAGTAGAAAAATCAAGAAGTTTTTAAGAAGTAATCCATTCATTTTGCAATAGAATTGCTTTAACTTGAGAATTGTGTAGTTATCCAACATAATATTAATTTTTCTTTATTTTTGAAGTACAGAGATGCTTTGCCTCTAAAATGTGGAAATTCAGCATATCGCCGAAATTTTTTCTTTTTATTTTGCTTAAAGTGTTGCGAAATTTCACAACTACTATTTGGTGTAAGACATGCGTGCGATAAATTTATCGATAACTAATTTCCTTATTGGTATTTGAAGCGATTATAAGTTACTTTTCATTACAGATATGCACATACCTTCGAATCATGATGTATTTTGATGAAGTGATTAAAATCTGCTCCTTCTAGATTGAAACCTGATATTATTAATTGCAGAAATCACAAATCAATTGTTAGTGTCCTATGTTTAAAAAAGGTCTTAGAAGAATTGTTTTAAAATTTGCTTTTGCAAAATTGTACGAGCTGACGCATTGATCTTTCCTATACAATCGTTTTTGACACTTTACACCAGAATTTTCTCCTTTTCTCGCATATTTTTTCTTTTTATTTCATTTATTTTGCATAAAGTGCTGCGAAATTTCACTGGAGAGGACTACTATTTGGTGCAAATTATGCATGCGATAAATGTAACGATAACTAATTTCCCAGGTTGTGCTTGAAGCGAATATAGGCAACTTTTTAATTAAGTTGTGCTCACACTTTCTCAAAAAAATATGAATGAAATTCTGCTTAGTAAAAAATTTCGATTTATTTTGATGAAATAACAAAAATATGCTCATTACTGCTTGAAAATTATTTCACTCTTAAGTCTTATATTGTTCAATATTAAAATTTAAATCATGCTGAGACATAAATTTTTCCTTTTTTATCCCAATTTGTAGTGCTATTACCCTATATCTCATTTTCCCTATGTTTTTTTCTTTCGTTGTATTAATTTTTAATAAATTTTTCTCAAATCTCACGCGAGTCATAATTTCAAGGAGTGCTAATCACTTATCAGTACCTCTAATTAGCATTGTCTGCCTTATTAAATATTATTTAGTTAATTTTTTTTAGTAAAATTTAAAATTCAGACAGTAAAGTTAAATGCCTTGGAAAATTTTCTAATTCAATCTTAATAACAATCGCGTGCTAGCATAGCAAACAAAAATTTTACTTATCAGTTTAATATCAATTTGAATAACGAACATAAAGAAAATTAAATAATTTTATGGTAGCAACGAACTTTAATTAAATATTATAATTTTCCAGTACATCAGTCTTTTTTATTACCTTTATCTAAACTAACTGCGCTTATCAGCGCTACAGCTTATCAACAACTTTCCCTTATCAACAAAACTAATCTTATCACGTAAACGTACCAGCCGTGCGTTATCAATTCTTCAAATATTAATATATTTTTTGAACGGAAATGTATACATATATTATAGGTATAATATTTACATAATGTGTAAATATTTGGAAAGTTGTTACTCACACTCAAATAATAAATATATTCGTACATATATGCTATAGTTGTCGGAATGATCCGTAAAATTTTCCCTTAAAGACTTTAGAGGGTTTCTTAATTAACGAAATGTAATCTTTTTTAGGATTGCTGAATTAAATAGTGCGTAGTCATGTATGTAAATATAAACTCGTTTGTTTGTTTATGGAAATGTGTTTTACCAGTCTAAACTAAAGCGGTGTTAATGAATATATTCATGGGGGAATGGTTATCGATTGTTCAAGCATTTAGCAATTTTTCGATTATTCAATGCGCTCCAAGAGTTGCACGTTGATTTTGTACAATAGTAAAAATTATCATAATTATGAGCTAAATTCTTTTCATGTTAACAACTGATGGAACTGAGTTTTTCTCAGGATATACACAACAACAACACTCAGAATAAATGACACTAATACGCATAATCAAATCTCAAGGGAATAATTTATGAGTTAATGAAAAGACATACATACATACATGAAATATGTTATTCTCTAAATCCGAAATATTTATTCACCAACAACAACAACTGTATAGATGCCAATGTACATATGCATGTATGTAGATGTTATAATGAGTATAATATACAAAAGTTCTTTGCGATGATAATTCTCAAAAAAAAAAGAAAAAAAAAACGTGTCAACCCTTTCAACTTACCTCCTGGCTTAAAGGATGATGCATCAAAGGATGGCGCCCGCACTGGTTGATGTTTATCGCGTAAACTGGCTTGTCGATCTGGTACAAATGATACGGCTGCTGGCAAAGATTCGCCGCGTGTTAGCGGTGGACGTGGTACATTTGGATCATCAATAGCGCTACGTTTCATCGGATTCGGTCCATTACCAGCACCGCCACCGACGCCAACACCACCACCGCCACCATCGCCCACATGCGCATGATCATCATCCTCGGATGGTGGCCGCTTCAAATTCACCGATAACGCTGGCGGCACTGGCCCAACAACACCAACATTTGCAGCTGCAGTGGCAGCAGCCATTGCACGATTTGTCATCGACATGTGATGCGGTGCCATATGTGAGATCCGCACTGGACGTACGCTCGCGTCGTGTGCCTCCATTTTCACTGGGAAATCCATTAGACTGGCGGCTTGCGGTGGTGGTGGACCAATACGTTGTGTCGCATAGCCATGATGATGTTGTTGTTGCTGCTGTTGCGGTCCAACAACACCAACACCGACACCCACATTTATGGGCGCACCACTAGCACTGCGATGTTGTGCTTGTGCAGCGGCTACCGCTACCTGCTGTTGCTGTTGCTGTTGCGCTTGCTGCTGCTGCTGTTGCTGTTGTTGATGCTGTTGTATGGACACCTCACCATTTTCATGACTACGCTTGGCCGCCTGATGGAGCCGTTTCATTTGACGTGCCGCATCCAAGACGAGTTCTATGCGATCGGCGCCCTCATAATTGACACAACCGCGACAAACAGCCTCGGAGAAGTCATTGATCATGGCCCATGGCATACGTGGTAGATCGCACAGATAACAGTGCTGGCGTTTAGTTTGCAGTGACATCTTGTTATGTTGTTGCGCTTGTTGGGGTAAAGAGGAAGGTGGTGAAGGTGTGTTGGTGTTCGCTTCGTGTTTGTTGTTCAACGTTTTTCTTTTTGTTGTTTATTGTTATTGTTGCGCGTACAACACGTTTTTAACTGGGGCGTACGTTGTGGCTACTATATAAGTTGTAAAATTGCGTGCGTTTTGTTTGTATTTTTACAAAACGCGACCTGACCTGTTTTTAACCGGTTAATAATAACAAAACAACACTTTGGAAATTTTTCTTTGCTTTCGCGTTGCGCGTACAAAAATTGTTTTTTATATATATGTTCGAAATATATTAATACAAAATCGATTAAAATATGCAGCACTTCTACTTGCTAACTCCTCTTCTCCTTCTTCTTCTTCTTAAGGTCAATTCTTTGTTTTTAACCAATTATAATGAATTGGCTTTATGAACACTTTATATTTGAGTGCCACTGTGTTAAAAGGGGCGCGTTAACGTACGCTTAATGTTCATGGCAAACAAACGAAATTAACTTCAACCGCTGACTACCACCGACTTCCGCTGCTTGTTAACGACGACGTTCATTCGTTGGCCGCAACACATGCGGCGTTTGTGGATTTTCCATTTTCATTCTTTTATTTTTCTTACTTTCCTTCTGTTTATTTATACTTATTTATTTCGCATGCACTTATACAAACACATACATACATATATCCAAGTGAATTTATGTATTGACGTCGTTTTGTTTATTTTTCACCGACTTGTGCGAGTTTGTTTTATTTCATTGTATTTTTTTTTGTGTTTTTTCAATTTTTATGATTATTTAACAGCGCCACGCTATTTTTGGCTGTTGCTTGTTTTGAATACTTGTTTACACAACACTCCGTATATTTTTTCCTATAGTAAAAAAATGGGCAAAGAATTAATAAATATATTGAGCGCGCACACACACAATTAATGGTCGGAGTAAGAAATGCAATCGTGTGTGCCTTTGCTTACAAAAAGTTATCGATTGTGGAAACCTGTTTCTGGCACTAGTTCAAAGCTCGCGCGTATCAAAAAATGAATGCATTTTGTGCGGTGTTTTAGGCATTTTGTGCTTTACATAAAAACCGTCAAATTTGTGTTGCTTAAGTTCGTTAAACTAACTTCTCAATAAGTACACATTAACATAGCATCACTATAAATTCATGCGTATCTAGTAAACTGCATCGATAGCCCAAAAAAAGTTATTACACCAGCACACAAATTTGTTACATACATACGCTTATTGTATGTATACTTGTGAAAAGAACAAATCTATTGATTTGCCCGCTTTGCTGCTGCGTTTGATACGTTTCACCGCGCATTTCAGATTATTGATTCATTGCCACCGCTTTGCTATCTCAGTTTACAATTCCACTACCACTAAGTGCTTACATACAGATGTATGTATTTATATATATACATATATACATATGTAAGTATATGTAAAGCTACAGCAGCATCAGCAGCAGCTTTATCACCTCACACTTTACGCCCCAATTAGATGTGATTGAATGTATTGCATTAAATCATATCAAAAGCAAAACACGCCGAAAACATGCGCTCACGTACAAAATATTATATTTATAAATACATACATATATACAAGCAGAAAAATGTATATGTATATACAAAAATATATGTTTATACCGAAATCTATCTACTATTCATGTATGTATGTATACTTGGGGTGTGTGTACGCTATATAAATGCGAAGTGAGCGACCGCGGCGACTAGTAGCGTAGAAACGTTTTAACTCAGCACATTTAACGGTCATGTATTTCCTAAATGGCGCAGCGTATAGACACGATTTTCGCATAAAAAATGTATATAATTACACGTACATCATATACGCTTATAAATATATATATATTTATATGGCGTATACACATGTAATTATGTACGCCTGCCTGGCCCTAAGTGGATATACATATGTATATAAGTAAAGTAGGCGCGCGGGAGCGTTTCAAATGGTTCAAATACGCGCACGTCTCAAAGTTCAGGTCACTAAGCACATATGCACATACACATGTAGTCGTACAATAACTATAAATGTATGTACGTTCTTATAAAAAAAAAACTGTCTGAATACACAGAAACTTGCGCTAAATTAGTAATTAAATTCTATGCTCACAAGCAAGGTACTTTTTCACTATACGGCCCATGCTATGTACATATGTATGTATTTTCAGCAGTTTGAATTTGAATTTGAATTTAATTTTTCATTTGTATTTTTTCGCCATAAATTATCTTTTGAATTTCACACCTTTATGTTGCCCGCTTGTAAAACTTCTATTTTCTTAGCAGCTTCGCATACAATGTATGTATGTATATGTTGTAGTACATACCAACAAACACTTCACTTCATGCATACTCTATGCTATAGTATACACATTCTTTTTCTTGTCTTAAAAACTCTGACATTCACACGCGTTCACTCACTGTTACGGTTCTGCTCGTCTGCGTCCGTCCGACTTGGTTTACTCGCTTGCATGTGCGTCTTCCTCGAATGCCGTCTGCGAAATAACAAATTATTCCAATTGAATGTCGGAAAAATGTATCCGTTGTTGGCTGGTTAGCGAGCTCTTGCTCTGTATGTATGCGTTTTTGGTATGTGCTTGCTTAGCTCACCTCGCTCTGGCTCACTGGCTGACTGGCTGCTAGCTAGTAAGCTCGCTGGTAGGTGGCTGATTTGTATGCTCAAGAGCGTAAAGTTGGTATGTGGCACAGCACAGTGTGTATAATTGTTGAAATGTTTTGATAACATTCAAAGAACTTTACCATCATGGGGTCACCAGCTGTGGTAGTTTTAATTGGTGGTTATTAAGTGAAAAGGAGAGAGCTTCGATTCCTGAACAACATTCTAAATTCAGACAACAGGAATTGTCGGGTGACTTTCCTAACAAGACCTTAACAATACCTTCAACGATTAGCTGCGACTCTAAACAGAGTCAAGACAAGACACACACTCTGGTCAATAGACCGTACTTTGAATCGTGTGGACAATTGAAAACTAAATTACTTTCCAAACGAATAAAATTAAGGCTATACAAGTCGCTTTTCATTTCCGTCGTGCTATATGATGTATGCATGTAGATTCGTGGACAATAGACATAGGATGAGTCGGCACCAGGAGGGTTCAAGAGAAAGATTTGCGAATGACTTTTGCACCCTTTCGTGATAGCGATGGTGAATGAAGTAGATGATAGAACGAACGAATTAAGTTTGGGGATTTAAGTGTCAGCATCTACATCGACTAAGGGTAGGAGTTAAAGAAATTGCCCGTCGTAAGGTTTGCCTGTCGTAAGAGGCGACTAAAATCCAAAAGCTTTTGCGACAGAACGAGTCGGATTTTTATCCGACCAAGTACCGTAACAACGTCAGTGCCCGGTGTTGCAATTAGAAGAAGGGAAAGACTTATACTCCAAATCTTTCATATTGTATTTCTGAGTTGAAATAAAGAGTTCTTCGTAAAATCTCATTAGCTGACAGGATGTGGCTCATAAAACTGTAGCTCATTCCGTTTCCGGGGAAAAACATGTGCCTTGTATTGAATTTAGCCTAAAATCAAGTGTAACGATTGCCTACTTTTAGGCGTTTAATCTCCACTCAGCTGCACATGAGCCCAGGGAGCTCCATTTATCACCATTTGCTCACTAATTTTATTATACTTTTCTCCTCCTTCATTTTATAACATCTTTCATCCAACCTTCATCACTGTGCACCAATCACTCGTTTGCAATGCGCTACTCTTTACGTGGTGGGTCGATGCGCCTACACACCCTGCGCCTGCCATCATTCACAGCTTTAATTTCACATGTGAACGATTTCGTTGGCATTGTTCACGTTGTACGACGTGTTTCGGCGGCAGCGGCGGCGACGGCCACGACAACGATGGCAACGACATAGCGCTAAAGATTATGTGAGTGCCTGCTAAACAAAAATTCATAGTATACATACTGAAACAGCAACAACAACAACTGCTATCAGAATGAAGGCAAATACTAGTCCAACAACAAACAGCCCCAAAGAGAAGCAAAAACATTTAGAACGATAGCGATGAAGTTGCGATGATAAAAAGAAACGCTGAAGGGGAAAAAAGCAAAGTTAAAGAAACAGGCTGAGAAGAAAAATGTTTTGAATGTTTGTTTGAGTGTGTGTGTGTGTGTCTCTATGTGTGTAAAAACGAAACGCTGACAACATTTTTAGTCGCTCAGCAACTATTTTATACATTCATACATATTATATATACATTTGTACATATGTATGTATGTATTTTTTATCGCAATCACAAGATGCTAGCGGCCTACTGTTGACCCCCTAGTCCCTTTGCAGCTCCACAAACGCTCTGCTATTGCCGTTTTGCCTTATCGCCTTGCGTGTTATCTCATTGTGTATTCTCGTTTATTTCAAGAGTACGTACATATATATGTGTGTTCATATATTTATATGAATATTTGTTGTTATCTACATAACTACAAACAGTTGTATTTCAACTTGCAGGCCTCTCTCTTTCTCTCTCTCGCCCTTTAATTTAAAAGCAATCGATTGAGCCACAAAAAATTGCAGAGAACAGCGAGTACAGCGCATTATCAGCAATGCTCGACCATTTTTGTGAATCACTCATGTGTATAGCGATTATGTTTATGAACTTCTTTTTTTTTTTTGCTCATTCACCATGCTCCTAGGGAAGGTGCTCCCTTAAATGCTACCAATTTAGTTGAAAAATGCTGACACAGTACTTATTGCTCTGTAGTTACATACATGTATGCCTTCCATGGCGTTAAAAAAAGAAACTATCCTCCTCACCACATGTAGCCTAAACGCTGTGAATTCCATACAATTTAGTGTATTTGTTAGTATGTAACTCCTGCAGCTGTGAACATACTCTCCTGTTGGCATTATTAATGTGTGGCGATTTGCGCATGGTCGGGTTTCTTCTTCCATTGCTTTTCGAGGTACAGTTCTCACTCGCTGCACTGTGGTGTAGGTAGAGAATTTCAGTGCAAAATGAAAAAAAAAAAAAATTCATGTCGAGTTTTAAAAATATCTTCTAATTTCTGGTATAGAATTTTTGTTTTGTCACTAAATATAGGGTCCTAGAACGGCCGAACGGCCTAAGAATTTTTATGAGGAGCTTTTATATCATATAACAAATACGCTCGAAAGACTTGAGATACCCTGTCGAGGGGCGACCGCAATGAGAATAATCACTTTTTTGAATGTTGGTCGAACCAGAAATCGAGTCCTAGCGTTTCGCGGCGTTTTTGTTTGGTAATAAGTAATAGTTGTTTTTATTTTAAATTAGATGAAATTGAAAAAAAAAAAAATACACCCAAAATAACATTCTCGCCGGGCAGTCTATGGGAACAAACAACAAAATATTGCAAATGGCTGCACAAAAAGGGAAAAGTAAAATTGTTAAATCCCTTGTTGAGTCGTTGTATGGTGCAGTTTCAACACAAAAGGATATTCATGAATAGAACATGGCCTATAACGAAAAACTAAATTGAATTCAGCTTCTTACAAATGTTCTCTTTTCTTTCTCGGAAATTGCTGGCTGTGTAAATGTCAAAAGTTTATTCAGCATCGGAAAGGAACTCGTTGAGCCGTTCGATTTCTTTAACCTATTGTTTGAGAAAATAATACGTGCTATGGAACTAAGTATAGAAAGTATAAAACACAAAGAGGGTACAACTGCTGGCGTAAGCCGATGATATCGGCGTGTGTTTTATCACTGGATAAGGAAGCGTAAAAAAATTTGTTCAGATAGTGAACGGAGGCTGAACAAAATATCTTCTGTAATAGAGTAAAGAGTCAGTCAGTCAGACAGGAAGTTAAACGACTGCGGTTACATGTGGTTAGGATAAATGAAAACACTCCATTTCTGAAAGTATTTGCAGCACTGAAAGACGAAAGCTTCCATTGCGTTGGAAAAATACACGATTATTTATATTTACTTTAAGAAAGACTATACTGGCAAACTTGTATAGCAACGAGAAATGAGTCCAGCTGGTTTTACGGAAAAAATCAAATCGCAGTTGGTTTCTGCCGGACGACCGTCACTAACGGTATGGGCAAGCGGTGATAACTGGCGCTCTCATAAGATAGGTAGGTTGCTATGGACGGCTGGTACGTGAGGTGGGTAGTTGCAACATTAGTGTATCCAATTGGCTTTAATGACACAATCGTTATCTAACCAGATAAACAAGAAGAAGAAAAAGAGTAACAACAATTCATGAGCTATACGAGTAGATGACATTTTGTACTAATATTTTGTTTATCCATCTACACAAATTATCAGTACGTGCTCAAAAATAAATTTTTCTCAACAACCGACTCACTGTGCAGATGCACCGCAATTTAGTCTACAGCTACGTTGCCAAAACGACTACGGCATGCGCATTTAATACTGTGACGTCAGTAATGGTATGTATTTAACTCTTGAGAAACCAGTCTGGAAAACCGGTTTCAAAAAAACATTACAAACAAACGTTTATACAACATACAATAAATAGCCACCTAGTCAACACAACAATAACAATCAAGTTCAGCTTGTGATTATTGTTTTATCGATTGGGAGTGTTGTTGGGAAAATATGGCGAACGTGTAAATAAATAAGGAAAGAAGGAAAAAGAGCAACAACAATTGCCAATGCGCATTTTAACACTCGTTTGGAAACCAGTTTTATGAACGATCGTGGTGACGTCACTAGATGAGCTGAGGCACGGCAGGCAGGCAGATGCATTTATTTGTGGTGGAAGAATGAGCAAGCAGTCAAGCGTTTGGGTGGGCGAATAACACGCAAACTGGCGGGCAGGTTTAGATATGTATACATAAATATACATATATATATGTATGTCTGACTAAAATAAGCGATTTCATGTAATTTTTTTCTTTTCTTTGACGATGACGATGGCAATTACATATACATATACATATAATATGTATGTGAATATGTAAGCAGTTGGCTGAAAAAGATGCTGGGAGGCGAACTGGTATTCGTATGGGCGCACATACACTTGCAGAAATAGTTTAGAAATATTTGTAGATATGTATGTACATATATATTTAAGTGTATAAGCGCCAGCTGGTGTTTAACTACTTAGATATTTATATATGTACATATGTATGTATGTATATGAGGACCGCCGCGTCATAATCGCTTTTAGTGTTGTATTTTGTTGTATTTTTTTTATAAGTTTTTCAAGTCTTCGATGTATTCGTATGTCTGTGTTTGTAACGAGGCAATGAACGATTGACTGGACACGAATACGAGTGATACAGAAATCGATAAAATTGTATAGAAAAAACAAAATAAATAAAAATAAAATAAAGAAAATAAACAAAACATTAAAAAATAATTCTAAGCACAAATGAAATGTGAAGTGTGCGGAGAGGCAGCCATATGTACATACTTACTTACATGAGGTGAAAGAGATACGAAAAGAGAGTCAGAGCGCGTTAGTGAAAAGATAGCTGGCAGCCGTTAAATGTTGTTGCTCTTCATAAATTCAAAATAACGATAGTGATTGTTGTGAGCGGAAAAGGAGGTGTGTAGCGGTAAGGAAGTGATAGAAAATTGTTAATGGCGTTGAAAATATGCTGTTGGGAATCGGAAACATCTTCTTAGCGAAATTTTTCTATATGCC